CCACCAGCATCGCCATGCCTCAGGGGAGCGCCTGCTGCTGCTGCTGCTGCTGCTGCTGCCACTTTCACTATGGAAAGATGTTCAGCACACAAAAATATAGCAAGACCAAAACAATCTAGAAAAAGCAGCATAAATATATCAGTGCAACAACAATTTAACACATGTATCGATATCAAAACAACCAAAAACCAAGACACTGACCTGCAACCACACCAGGTGAGATAGTATGGATTGGTCTAGACCAGTGTTTCCAAACCTTTTTGAGCCACGGCAGACCACCAAACAACACAAAATGTCTATGTAATGAAATCTAATAATCTCAATAATCTCAATAATCTCATAATGAACTAAAATCTCGACCTGTTTAATTGAAAACAACGTACCCACGCCCCCCACCCGCATCCCCATGCCTCGGGGGAGCGCCTGCTGCTGCTGCTGCTGCTGCTGCTGCCACTTTCACTATGGAAAGATGTTCAGCACACAAAAATATAGCAAGACCAAAACAATCTAGAAAAAGCAGCATAAATATATCAGTGCAACAACAATTTAACACATGTATCGATATCAAAACAACCAAAAACCAAGACACTGACCTGCAACCACACCAGGTGAGATAGTATGGATTGGTCTAGACCAGTGTTTCCAAACCTTTTTGAGCCACGGCAGACCACCAAACAACACAAAATGTCTATGTAATGAAATCTAATAATCTCAATAATCTCAATAATCTCATAATGAACTAAAATCTCGACCTGTTTAATTGAAAACAACGCTGATTTACTGGCAGAAATTGAAGAAAGACACTCACAAAGATCTTCTTCATCAGCTCTGATTATCTTTGTTTCTTTCACTGTGTTATTAATCCACTTAAACCACTAAACAGTGGTTAAAGTGGACGGCGGTGTGTCTACCATGCATTGTCCTTATACACCTGATGACATCCATATGCAGGGTGAACCACTGTGACACGCCCCATTGTTTTCATACCAGCAGACATTCCAGATCCCTGCCCATACGAGCATGACACATTCCTCAGTTGAATAAAGAATTAGGAAATGTAGAATTTGTAACTTTCACTCAAAGAGGAAACACAACGTTGTCCCTTCAAAGCTCAGTTCAAGAGGTCAAACACAGGGATCTGTGATGTCACCGTCAGAGAATTCTAGCTGTTTGACTTTGACAGGAACTCAGTCACGTCCTGGCCTAGTTTCACTGTGGGCAGAGGTGATGGTCCTGGAGCCTCCTGCTGGGCCACACAGCATCTATCAGCTGCAGTAATTAAATGCAGCACACAAGTAAACACGGTCACACACATACACCCACATGCACTAATTGCAGGCAGGAGGTATCATGATCATTACAGGCCAAATTAAAGCAATCAATTGAAGCAAGAGACCAGCAGAGAGGAATTCAATCACGGTGGCCTGGTCTCTGCAAAAAAAACCACATCCACTCTGACGCAAACGCAGACTCAGCTGGGCCGGCCGTCTGCTTTTACACCGCAGATACATATGCATTTAACAGATTCCATGTTGTGTGAATCTTATTTATGATGTCGAATTATCTTCTTTTACATGCCAACAAAGAATCCTCTGGCTGACACTGGCGGCTACGGTGCCGCACACATCTGCAAGACATTTACTTGTTCCAGAGTTTCTCCAACATAAATACACTCTCTCCGGTGAGGAAATAAAGAGCCGAGCATCATGGGAGAAGTGTGGCAGGTACAGCAACGCTGTTTGTTAGTCTGTGCAGCACAGGACGTTGGCGAAAATGAACACATCTGCCAAGATCAGCCTGAGCATCTCCACACAAGCTGGCTGGAGGGAGAGCAAGAGCGTAAGTGGATCCAATTCCAACATTCCTCGTGTTTTTACAAACACATCATGCTCATGTCACTGGGGAGCCTCCTCCTTTTTCACCCCTCTTCCCTCCCTCCCGCCCTCTCTCCCTATCAGCCAGGCCAACTGTTGCTCCATCTCCAGGGCAGATTAGGGGAAGTGCTGGCTCCTGAAGAATGCAGGCCTGCTGCTGCTGCTGCTGCTGCTGCTGCTGCTGCTGCTGCCACTCTGAGTTGAGAATTTATTAGGACTGGCGTGGCAGTACAGGCTTTTGGCCTCCAGCTAGCAGGGGTAAGAGGAGGAGAGAGCGGTGGAACTGCAGGATCTCTGCTGCAAAGAATACAAGCTGTCATCCAGGTGCAGGTCAAGGATGACGGCGGCGGCGGCAAAATAATTTTGCTGCCTTATATTTATAAAGCAAGGTTTTGACGCTACTTTGAATTCCTGTATGGTTCAAATTAAGAAGAAGACTTATATATAAATGTGGAGTTAAAACACTGAACACATCATCTCTGTTCATGATCACATTAAACACAGTACCCGACGGGCTGCAGTGAGAGTGTTAAGCCCAGGTCTGGACTGTAAGAACAACAGCGTTAGGTCACCACTCGAACAAGATGTGAGCAGTGATGTGAATCCATGGTGAATGACTAGGAGCCTCCGTCATTAACGCGGTGCCCTAGATCTCGTCCGCTCACATCTATCAGAGTGACAAGTGAGAGGTTGTGTCATGGTTGAGGAAGGCTGCTTTTTCACAATCAAACCCATCTATTAGGATAGGAGAGGATAATAACCATCGCATATCTGTGCCACTGGCCACCGTCGCAGGATGAACAGCCGCCCTGAGGCTCAAATATAGATGTGCTGTGAGGGCTGAATGTGTGGAAATGTGTGGCGTTTTATAAAACAAGCAGAGGAGCCCAGAGGTCACAACTCTGTTCACCTTGGTGGCTGACCAATGAGGATGAGCTGAGAGAGCAGCATGACATGAAGCCCCACTTCTATCTGCAGCTAGGAATATACTATAACTATATATATATATATATAGATATAATCTATATATATATATATATATATATATATATAAACATACGTGTTAGTGTTTAAATGATGAGTGCTTGAAATTTTTGCATCCCACTTCAGCATTATGTAATAAACGTTATGTAGTAACATTATCATTATTACGTCAACAACCAACCACATTACGGTTGATTTCTTCATTAGCAGCAGTCATATTGCGATTAACAATTATTCCTCCGCAGCCATCGATACACGAATAATTGAGATTGTAAATATTGCGTGTGCCGGTCTCTACCGTCTTTAGAAGATTATATTACACCACCACCTTCTGGATGTTATGTGAACTGCAACAAGCGTGACGCTGACCCAGAGTGTTTCTGAGGTTCAGCTGTCCAGCCCTGTGGACCAACATGAGGTGCTGGTGACAGTGTTTTACAGTTAAAGGAAGTAATTTAGCAGTACGACCATATGCTTCAGAACACCTGCTACTGTTATTGGGTATTTGATTTCCACAGATTAAGTCCTCTAAATTATTCTAATAGGAAACAGGGTTTATAATAATTAACAAACCCACACAGGTGCAGACATAGTTTTATAAATTTTTCTGGATTTTTACCCAATCAACATTTTCTTTGGTCATAACCATAAGAAGAGGATATTGCATTTAATACACAGTTTAAAAGTAAACAAACGAAAATATATTGTCCAAATATATTGGTCAATCCCCTTGGGATTAAAAGATGTGAGGGATGAAGATCTGTCAAGAAAATGTCAAATAAATAGCTTTTAAAGCTGAGATCTAAAAATAAACATTACGGTTTGTTTAAGACCGTGACTGAAACCCAGTAATTAAATAAGTGAACCTTGATCCAGTTTAAATTAGCCTGTTAATTATTAAGAACTAAACAGTCTGTGACCAATTACAAGACATCTGAGTCCAAGAACTCATGGAACAGTCCACTTAACCTTAAGCCTGCCTTAAAGCTCTAAATGAAATTCACATCTTTATAATGACTTTTATTTGAGCTGCAGTAAAGCTGCTTTATATATATATATTTATTTATATACAGTATATATATATATATATATATATATATATACTGTATATATATACTGTATATACATACATAAATCAAAAAGGTTAAAAGATAAGATAAAGTAAATACATTCAATTAGTATAAATATGTTTTTAATTAAATAAACTGTAAATAAATTAAAATAAAGTGTTAATGAAACTATAGCCTTGTTAGTGTCTTAACCCATACTGTCCCGTGGACCTTGTGGCCCACAGGGGGCAAAACTGAAAGTTTTTTGCAGCCCTCTAGGTGATGCTGGTGACCCCAGTTTGGACCACGACCCTATGATTAAGAATCACTGGGGCAGATAAATTCAAGATACATATTTGAACTTCGGTTATCCTATTTAGGATAACTAGGATATCATATTAGAATGTGTGTAAATATATGAAAAAAAGGTATGTTCATGTAATAAGTGCCTGTAGAGCCACAGTTGAAACATCAGATAAAGAAAATAGCTGCCACCGTGAAGAGAGAGAAAAGCAGAGCGACAACTGAGGATATACGTCGTCTGTCAGAAGCAATGTCAGGTCACTGCTCTCCTCATCTGCTGCTTGGCAAACTCCATTCATCTTGGCAGATAGCAATTTATAAGTGGAGTTAACCTCCCTCCACAGACTCCGCTCTAATATCCTGACTGGGCCAGTACAACTCTATTGACAATTCTATGGAGCAATAACACAATTACAGGGCGAGGGATGGAGCCAGGGAAGAGCTCTGACAGCTGCAGTACATTAACCTCACTTCAACACAATAGCCAACTGCGTACAAGATGTAGGTGATGTCAGGACAGGGAGACCAAACTGGTCAAAGCACTTTGGTAAAAACTGCCTCAGATCACAATGTGTCAAAGGAATAACTGGTCATACTGGAGGGATTAGAGATAAGGATCCAGGAGTAGTACTGAAAATATTTCACTTTTCAAGTTTCTGGAGGTTCACAAACTCCACACAAAAATATGAATTTTTAATTTGTCAGCCTGCACGATAACTTCTCCAGTCTCAGAAAAAAGTTCTAATGAGTCTTTATCTCAGGATGTACATTTTGATACAAACAAACTCACAGATTGTGTCTTCTTCTTCCTCTCTCGGCTGCTCCGTTCAGGGGTCGCCACAGTGGATCATCTGATCCTAGTATGGAGTAAAGATTTGACACAGGTAATTAGAATTTTCCTTTGCATTATTATTTAAAATTGCTATCTATATTAAAATATGTTAATTTAAATATGCTCCATCTTTGCAAAGACCTTAACTAAAAATGTGCTTAAAGATTTTTTATACATTACAATAATTACATTTTCAAACAAATGTCACAAAAAGCAACAGGATAAACGAGATGTGTAAGTATTTCTTATTTATTGTATTTCTGTACTTTATAATTGTTTGCTAGACATTCGTGTTGTGAATAAGGTTGTGATACTTAAATTCATCAGTGGAACTTTTGTATAAAATTACCTTGATTCCTCGGCGAAGGTGTCATTCCAATAGTCTGCCAGTAGAAGGCGAAAATGAAGCAGTCTACAGCCAACACACTGCGAAAAGTCCAACAAAAGAAGCCGAGGACGTCTATCGTCGTAAACAACGTCAAGATGTCCGAATGAGTTGCTAATAGCTAAGCCTAAAAGCTAAACACTTGCTTTTCTTTTTGAGTTTCTTTATTTATGCTTAGTTTATAGACGATAGACTTTGTATTATATGGAGTTTAAAAGCTTACCATGAAACTCCGGGTGCAGAATGACAGGTGAGCTGGAGCTTTCCGAGCCGGAAGTAAGAGCTGTTAGCCATAATCTGTTAGCTGCTAATGCTAACCAAACTGCACCTCTGTTTACTGATCAGCGTTGTATATCAATGTGACCAATGCTTCAAATGTGAGATGAGAACTTCCTTCTACGACAATAACATATCAGTTTGTAAGGCTTGTGCTTCTTAGTTTGACAATCGCGGTTAGTAATAAAAAAAAAACACCTCCGCCTCAAATAACAGTGTTCTGTTTACCATATTGGACATGGCAATTGTCTATTTGTCATTGATTTGTTGAGTATTTCCGGGTGCTTAATACAAGTTTTATACAAGACCAAAATACTTTACAATATATACGTTAAAGTTGTTTGCTACCGTAATGTCTATGTATGTATCTGTGTGTTTGTGAAGACGTGAAATAACGGCTAGTGTTTTATAGTAGTACTCCAAGTTTTTCACTTAAGTAAAAGCTGAGGTGAACCTATTCAATTGCTTTGTAAAACTTTAATCAAAACAAAAATAGCCAAAGAAAAAAGCTATCTACTGGACTGTTAGCACCATGGGATAATCATTTTGACTTTACTTTATCATTTAAGTGTTTTGTTTCTGTGTCAAAGGAGTGATGTCAGAAGGGAGTCTCCTACTGTAATGCAGCCTAAGTTAGGGGAACAAGACCCCCAAGCAGTGAATGGTTTGTCACTACCTCTGCAACCAGTGCTACTCACCAGGACACCAGCTTCAGGCGGAGCGGCTGCTAACACAGACGGCAAAGAGGTGCGAGTCCACATGATTGGAGGACACAGTGAGTCCAGTGGAGGCACATCCTCCAGGAGGTCTAGGGGCAGCTTCCACGGTCACTCCCACTCACATGGACACAACCAGGAACATCATCATCATTCCAGTGCAGAGCCTGAACATGACCATCCTGACTCTGACCTGGACTCAGGGGAACCCAGCACCTCCTTTTCGGAGCTACGCTGTCTCTTCATCTGGCTCCAAAAGAGTCTTCCTTTTGTGATCATACTGTGTGCTAAACTGCTCGTACAACATCTTCTTGGTAAGAACAAGATTTAATAATGTAGAGCACATTTTAACATTGATAAAGAAAAATACATTTGTCTTTCCCTTTTGATTTCCAGGTTTAGGTATTGGTGTTGGCCTGTTTACAACTTTTTTATATGTGAATGAGAACATTCAGAAGCAGGTCTTTCTACAGGTATGTTAGTGACACGAGTCCAGTTGTTTAGGATATTCATCTCCTTCATGCTCATACTGTTGAAATACTGTTTTTATCCCTGTGTCTATTCGCAGAATCATCGCTCAAAGCTACGCTGTGTGTGGCTGCTGCTCTTCCTGCTTTCTACTAGTTTTCTGCTTTACTACACTTTCTTCACAGAGTCACTTTACTATGGGTAAGTTTTAGCAAATCGCCTCTGTAAAACAGCGTGAGTGTACATCATGAGACTTTAATGGGTTGTAACTTTACCCCTTCAGCCTCATCTTCCTCAGTCCAACCATCCAACCACTGGGTTTCTGGGAGGTTCTTTGGACAGTTGGCATCACCAACTTCACAATAAAATTCCTCATTATGGGGATAAAGTGCCTTATTCTGATACTTCCCTCCTTATTGGTGTCCTACAGAACCCAGGTACAATAAATTATGTTCTTCCTGTTTGTCAACAAATATAAAAACTTAAGCACATACCCACTTGTCTTTTAATGTCTCCAGGGGAGATGGCTGATGCTGACTGAGGAGCTGGGTCAGGTGCACCAGGCCATGGCTCCAGTTGCTCAGTGGTTCCGCTACTTGGTCATCTACCAGGAGGCTGATGGAAACCTGGGTCTCACACTGGGAGTCCTGCTGGCTTTGCTCTACCTCATACTGAAGGTCTAGAACATTACCTGTCACACAAATCAAGAATGCATAAATGATTAAAAAAAAAAAAAAAAAAAGCTAACACTTGACCATGACGTTGATGTCTCCTTTAGCTTTTAGCATTGTACAAACAGTGGTCATCTTTACAGAAGACTGTGAAGCTTTGTCTACAGGGCGAGGTCAGTGTACTAAAGAGAGAGTCTTTATAGTTATTTAACAACTGTACTGACATGTTTCTGTCCTCTAACATCTCCTCAGCATACAGACACAGCAGCCAGTAGAAGTCAGTGCAGCGAGGCTGGAGACATCTGTCCCATCTGTCAGGGAGAGTACAGGGATCCCCGGGCTCTCCTCTGTCAGGTAAGAAAAACACTCTATATACATTTAACATCTCATGGCCAATCATTAGTCATAACAGCAAACTTGACTCATGAACCAAAGTGTTAAAACTGCACCCCTGTAGGAGAGGGATGTGCACTGCATACTGTGTGCTCGCAAAAACAAACCGCATAAAAGCCAAACATCAACTGACATTGACCACTGTGAAGTTCACTCTAACATGTGTGTCTTGTCCAATGGTTCTTTCACCCTGCTGGTATTACTACCACACTGACACTGTCTCTGTTTTACAGCACATTTTCTGTGATGAGTGCATCGCTTTGTGGTTCAACCGCGAGAAGAGCTGCCCGCTGTGTCGCACTGTGATCACAGACAAAGTCTACAAATGGAGGGACGGAGCCACTTCTCCACACCTGCAGATTTACTGATCCATGAGACACAGCTGAAAGTATTTGGAGTGGGACTTAAGTATTTGTCTGCATTGAATGTGATTTTCTTTTTCTTTTCCCCATGACTGTCAAATCCCACTGACAAATGTTGTACACACTGATTGATCAGCCAAGCGCTGTATACACTGTGGGCCAAGGTCAGCAAGGGCACAGGAGTTTGATTTTTACTTTTTTAAGTTGTATCTTGTGTTGCCCTTTAATTCACTCTTTCACACTTTAGTTTTAAGGTAAACTTTCCTGATGACACATCCTGTTTCTATTGTTTGTAAATATGGTGAAAAAAAAAAAGAGTTATATTTAAAGTATTTGATACAGATTTGATCTATTTTGAACAAATGAAAAACACCGGCTATTTAGTTTCCGAGTGTTTTTTTTCCATTTGTGTTCAAGTCTGATTTACAACAATAATTGTGTATTAATGCCACAGTGTGAATGTCAGCATCTACATCCTGCATCTTAAACGGGTTTAAGTAAAACATTTGATTAAAACCTAATCCTCTTTCAGCTAGGATTTAAAATGTGATCAACCTTTTTCTTATCCTTGCAAAAATGCTATTATGCTTATGTAATTGATTTACACAGAAAACAATATTTTTCTATGGAGCCTCATTTTTGTAAAAACCAAAGACTGGCAAAAACATCTATTTTATTTTGTACCAAATTAATTTCATTTATACCTTTATCCATTTCAAACCATAAACAGAATCAATAAAGCTCTACAATTGACAATTGGACTTGTTTTATATATGTATAAAAAAAACAATATTCAAAATACAAGTTACACAATTGTGTGGAGCTCATATAGAAGTATTACCAGCAGCACAGTTGATTAAAATGAACATTAACCAGGTTTGATAATCTTGGAAACCAAATATTTGGAAATGTGACTTTATTATGTACAAGATAACTCCTCCGATGGGGCAGACGACACGGCGAACAAAACGGTAAAACGCACTCTTAGCCTAAAGATGATGTCCCCAGCCTCAATGATGCTGCTCTAAACTGGAGCCAGGTGTAGAAAATCTTTACAAAGTCACAATTCTTATATAAAAAGGCACACAGCCAGTGCCACAGTAACTGCTCTTGGTTTAAGCCCTGTAAAAGAACCTGAAGTTTTAAGTTTTCTGAAAACCACTTAATGATACAAATACTGTAATATTAGTCTTCATCCTTAATTCAAGTTAAAAAAGTTAGAGGTCTCTGGAAAAACTGTGGGAGTAAAAAGACAAAAACAAGTGATTTTACACATTCTGATGCCTTATCTAAATAACATTAAATATTAAGTTGCTAAACAATTTAAAAAGAAGAAACTAGTTCTCGTTTTAAACGAATGCATAAAAAAAAACAAAGTCAAATGGACTTTTGGATATATATATATAAAGTTTCTTTTACCAGAAACGTAGAGCAACAATGTGGAGCGTCATGAAGTTTTTACTGAACAGTCATCATCCAGTTGGTCCCTGACCTGCACAAATTAATTGGTCCATGTTATTGACTACTTCTTTTCTCATGGTGGGTTTTCACTTTGTTACTGGCATGAGCTCCTGTCTGTGTTTTGGTCAGTTTTTGATGACTCAGACAGACGTTTGTCCTGCTATATAAATGTCAGCTGTTTCACTCTGGTTTTACAGTTCCTAAAAAGGCTAAAAACAGTGAATGTACAGACATGAACACAGCCAGTTAGAAACAGTGGTAACAGCAGTACTGAGAGAGTCCATGGGTCACTGGCTACCATTCAAAGAGAATCTGGTCACATCCATTTACTTTCTTCATTTAACGTAATCTGGCAATATTTCAAAATAATGTAATTCAGACTTGGATACTAACAGAATATATCTAAAATGTTATATTTTGAAAATGTACTGATCTTTAATGATTCAACGATCAGCATGGTGCAACCAACCGTTTGCTGTAATGGCCGGTATAGGTGGACCAATCCTTGGTTAAAAAAAAAAAAACAGTTGGAGGTTGCTGTAATATTTGACATGTTAAAAGAAAAATGACTGTAATGTAAATTTAAAAAACCAAAAACAAGTATTAAACAGTAACATTGTGACGACATTTGGACTAAGAGCACCAATAAATCATGATCAGATGCCAGAAATCCCACAGAAAAAAAACCTCAGCTCCCAACCTTCAGCCAGATTTCCTTCCAAAGTTATAAACCTCTCTCAAGTGTGTAAAAACAGACTTTTGTTACCATAAAACTAGCCCATAATTTCCACAACCTGTAAAAGTAGACTGAAACCATTTAGGAAAGAAAAAACTGGTAATTAAAAATGGACAACATGGGAATGATATTAAAATGGTGATAAGACAACAGAGGAGATGAGAGGTAGACAAAAGGCAGCCAAGATTCTTTTTGTATAAAACAACAAAAAGAAGTTGATAAAGATAGAAAAAGATGATTTAAATGTTAAAACCCCCTAAAATACAAGACAGCAATGTTACCATGAAATAACTAAAACTCGAGTGCACACTCTGCAGAGGCTTTTTGTAATGTGCTGTTTCAAGTTTTACAGAAAACAAAATCCCCGCGAGTTTAAATCCAAGAATGTAGGAATTTCCAACACAGTATTCAGTAGAATCAAACTAAAGTACTGGCATAAAGTATTATACATCACTAAACAAGGTCATCATTTTGGGACACTTTAAATATAGCACCACTTGAGGTGAGAAGAGGAGGTTAATGGTTTAGATTTTTTTAAACTTAACAAGGAATTCCATACTTTATGTCTGATATTAACAAATGCACATTGTTGTGTAAATGTACTGCATACAGTGATATTTTTCTTAAATGGTTTCAGTTGGATTTTTAACAATATTTTGCTTTGTTGACCGATATAAGAAATTCTCGGTCGACGGGCATCTGAGGGCTACGAATGGAGATACAAAACAAAGGAGCTCAGGCAGAGGCAGGACGATACTGGAGGGCAGAGAAAAGGAGGTGCTGCTGGAAGAGCTGGTGCGCAGACCTGACAGTGTCAGTCCATAAAAAAATAAGTTTTTGTTTTTTTTAAAAAAAAAGGAGGGGGAATTGGAAGAATCCTAAAGTTTGCAGCCACGCCCAACGTCATAGATTCATGCGTAGATGTTTGGGGCGTTTCGAGTTCATAGGGTAGGCCTGTTTTTTGTAAGTCCCTGCGTTCATCCCAGAGGGGTGCCTGATGGGAAGCGGTGCGGAGGCCTCCGAGGCACCGCTGCTGTTTGTATCCATCTGCTCCACTGCTGACACGTCCATAAGTTGCTCCCCAGATCCAGGAGGCAGCAGAGACGGGCAGCCGGTCAGCGTGGACCCCCGGGACCAACAGTCTCCAACCGAAAACTTAATTGGACTATGAAAAACCAAAAAGGTGTTTTATTCTGTTTTTTTTTAATAAAAGACTATTGATTCTTTTGTCCCAGAGCTACCTGGTTGATTTATTTCATTATATCCTGGAAACAAACAAGCTCAGCAGTTTGTACATCTGACCACAACATACATGACCAACAACAAATGTGATTTATTGTCAAGCTCTCAGAGTGGAACTGCTGTGGGACCAGGGAGATACCTTTATTTACGCTGCATGAGTTTATTTAGGCCAAGTGGGCTACATTTATTGGGTCAGTCCATGAGTCACTGATGTGGGTAGGACTTGTTGTGGGAGAAATCAGTAATTGACCGATGGCAGAGGGGAAGCAGAGTCAAAAACAACTTACCTCACAGGTGTTCTCGGGCTGCCTGGGAACTTCCGTGGTGAGCGGACTTTTGGTTCAAACGAGAACTTCTCTTTGACGTTTTCAAGCACAGATGGCGCTACATATGTGAAGCCCTGGGGAAAGGAGTGGGAGACAAAAACAGCGGGGAATCTGAGTCCACCTCTTCAAAGACCTTTCTGAAAACAACCCACAGCTGATGATGAGAAATGAAAACGCTGAGCAAACTGTATCATGCAATGTGGTACAAGAGTGACTGGAGCTTCCAGGAAAACAAGCTGGACTGATCCAGATGGAAAGCATTAAGCCATTCCTGGAAAAACGTCCTTTGAAATTATAAAAAGTCCAGAGATTATTGCAAATGTTTGGATAAAAAAAAAAACAAAAAAAGAAGAAAAAGTAAATGGCACACGGTTCTATTTACAACCATCTTTTTTTAATTTATAGTTTTAAAACCAAATGAGATATAATCAGTGGTCAAAGCTGAGGTATCTTTGGGTAAAACAAATAATAAAGAGCAGTGGACAACAAGTTCTGGGTGCATGAATTTTCACAACACTCGAAACATTCTGAGCGTCCAGATCTACTGACCAGCCAAATCAAGTTTTGACTTTAAGATAAAAAACAAATAAATAAAAAAAAGCAATCAAGTCATACTCTAAGAAAAAAATATAAATTAGAAAAAATTGTTAAGGGTCTCATCTTATGTACTTTTTTTAACCAATAAGGACAAAATGCAACAGTATATATAAACCTACAGACTGTGTGGTTCATCAGGGATAACTTCTCAAAACACAGCTGGGACCAAAAACAACAGACATCCTCTCATTTCCTGGAGGTGCTGAAGTCATCACTTACCAGGAAAATTTGATTGGCACTTTCACTGAGTGCGGAGTCGTCGGGACTGTCCACCGGAGTCTGGCTGGTGAACTTGGAGTCAAACTGGCTGACGTCATCGGCTGATTGCTGCCAAAAAAGAAAATAGGTCACTTCTTTGTGATGCTGGGAAGGTCAGAGAGGCTGCAGCAGTAAAAATACTCACCAGGAAAGGTTTGAACGGAGGCTCGACTTTGCGAGCCAGGAGGTCATCCCAGTTTATTTGCCTGAAGAAAGGGTGAGTCTAGAAGAGGTGTTGACATTTTTTTAGCAGGTGAAATGACAGTTGGAGGTCTCTGATGAGAACATTAACACAAATAAAATATTTCCTCTGTGGAATGGAATTAAATGTTTTTAGTACCTGGACCTCAGCAGCATCTCCAGGTCCAGCTCCGAGCCTCAGTGAGGCGTTACGTTTCAGTAGCTAAGAAGCAGAAAAGAATGTTTAAACACAGCCCTTTTTCTAACGCTTCATAAAACAGTCAAGCAAAGATTTGTCAACTCACCTTTTTCAGAAGGTCCCTGGCTTCTTGTGTGAGGTAAGGTGGAAGACTGAGTTTGCATTTCAGGATTTTGTCAATGGTCTTTTTTCTGTTTTCACCAGTGAATGGTGGCTATTGAAGTGAAGGTCGCACACAGACAAGAGTAAGCAAAAATTAAAGAAGCCTGTTTATGGACACAGTGGTCTGTGTGTTTATAGGTGTTGTGGACTTACTGCGCCTGTGAGCATGTCATACATGAGAGCTCCTAGACTCCACCAGTCTACTGCGCGGTTATGTCCACTCCTCATGAGGATCTCTGGAGCCCTGAAGAAGAAAAAAAATGTGAGAACCAATTCAACAGAGCAGACACAGACAGCAATGGTCAGTCTCCATGTGTCCAGTATCTGTATGATGACTAACATGTACTCGATGGTACCACAGAAGGTGTGGGTGACTGTGCCGTCGTGGATAGACTCTTTGCAAAGACCAAAGTCTGTCAGCTTCACATGCCCTGTTAAAACAGAACCACAGACCCAGCATGAGGGAAGTTACAGATGAACAGGAAAGAGAGTTCAAAAAAGGAACATATGTGCAAAACGATGGAAGTATTTACCATTGTTGTTGAGCATTATGTTCTCTGGTTTCAGGTCTCTGTAGATGATTCCCTTCTGATGCAGATGACCCAGTGCCATGGAAATCTCTGCCAGGTAGAAACTTACAAACAAAATAAGGATTTAGTTCGTCAGTAAATAATATTGTTTTTTCAGTTCTGGTAAGTGTATAACATGAAAATGTAATTTCTGTGTACATTTACTAATAAAACTGATATTTGACATAATTCACTAAAAAAACACCTTATTTATCAAGACATTACACAAGTTAATGTAATATCTTTTTACAGCTTCACATCAGTCATGTGGTGCACAGACTCATGTTACTCTTAAAAGAACATTTTTTGACCAAATTGTCTTTAAAAAAAATAATGGGGCTCAAACCCTCAACAATATATTTACTCACCACGCCGTGTCCTCCATGAAAATTCCCTCTCTCTCCAGTTGCATGAACAACTCTCCTCCTGAAGTAAACACATCAATATTTCTGTTAACTGTACTGGTTTATAAAAAATACACTTTTTACTGCGTCATGTGCTCACAAATATGAGTCTATGACAAATGTATTTTGGAGGTGTCACATGGCATGGCTCACCGCTCAAATACTCCAGGATGAGGTACAACTTCCCGCCTGTTTGGAAAGCATAGATGAGGTCAACAATGAAAGGATGTTTCACCTCCTCTAGGATATTCCTCTCAGCTTTGGTGTGAGCCGTGTCCTTTGCATTACGTACAATCATGGCCTTGGTAAAAAGGCAGAAGCACAGAGAGTTAGGGATTTTAATACTTGGGCATTTAGTGAAACTCAATAGATTGTTGGAATTGGGGTCTTTTAGTGGTTACAGTAAATATGCAGCTTCTATGAATAACTAGTGACACCATTTATTTGAAGGCTATGCATTTTATTCTCATCTTCTTTCACTGAATGTTTAATCAAGTCAGCTATGCTCTTATTTTGTTTAGACTGATATTTCTTAATTTCAGATTACATAATTTTTCACATTTTCCAATGTATTCATTGGCTTTAGGGTGGACCTATGTTCAGGTGTACTAAAGCTAATTTAATTTGCAGAAAATAAGAATTGTGATAATGAAAGTTATCCCTGTTGACCCTGAAATCGTCTGACAAAGCACAACTAAAAATAATTAAATACAGAGAAACCTGTTTACTCACTTTCTTCAAAACCTTCATGGCGAAAATTTTTTCAGACCCAGCACCTGATACCTTCTTAACTTGAAATACCTTTAAAGACGACACCGGGTAAAAAAAACAAAACAGTTATGACTTCAGGCAATGAAAATGGACACCAGTTTCACAGTCTTTCCCGCCAAAGCATCATGATAACTGAGGCTATGAAAAGGAAACAACACCTGATGACCAGTGAATAACTGAGATTTTTCCCTCATCTTGCTCTGCTTCGTCAGTCATTACGAGATGGTTTCTTACAACAATCATCATTCATTCAAAAAGGTTCCACGAGTACTGATGTGGATTTTCAGATATTCCAGATATTAAAGTTACAACACTTGTTTACTTCATTGAACTACTGTGTGTTTATTGAAGACAAAGTGATTACAAATATTTTATTTTCTGTAAGAGCATGTTCAACCCAGTGATACTAAGAACAGCCAATGATGACAGTTGACATTTACAGTCATCGTAATAAACTCAACAAGTTAAATAAGCTATGTTAGAGAACTACAGAAGGCAAGGATCAGCAACATTCTCAAACATTCTGTGTTGGATCTCTCAGCCATTTTTCTAAGATGGAAAATGTCTGGTGTCAAATCATCCATAATTTTATGCCTCACCTTTCCATAGCCACCTTTTCCCAAAACCTTCAACAGCTCAAAGCACTCAGGCCTGATCTGCTCTGTTCCCTTGTTCACGCTGTTCTCTGAAATTTCAATCTTTTCACAATCATCCATGTAACTGGAAAAAAATAAAGAATGAAGACAACAAATAAATTCACATTCCCAAGAGAGATTGACAATGTCTAAGACAGACATGGGCAAGTAGTCTTAAGGTATAGTCACTTTTTTAAGTCTGTCACTGGAGATGGTTGGAAAGAAGGAAAATCATCTGACACAAATTTTATACAGAGTAATTAAACTAATCTTCTGTATGGCCAAATGGATTATACTTACAAGTCAAAACCACTGCACTGGTCCATGTACTCACTGATGTGACCCTAAAAAACACAAAAACAAAACAAGAACTGGTTACTTTTTTGAAGTAATTTAAGCAAAAGTTTTTAAAGATACAAAATGTAATAATAATAATAATAATAATAATGATTCTTAATATTTTATTCTGATCAACCATAACCTAAACACAACTTTCAGGTGACGTGAATAATAATGCATCATAGTGCAACATAACCTGAACTTATAATGTGTACTTCAAGTTTCTCATGTCCAGACAACCAGGTACAGTTTGTCACTGTGACATCAACAAACACTTACGCAGAAGACGGTTAATCACCGTTAAAGCATTTCAAGCATGTCACTACACCTGGTTATCTAAATATAAAAAACTTTTGGTACGTATTATCTGTATTAAGACAACGTGAACTCAGTGATAATATTGCCATTATCTTTATATCAACAGCTACTTTTAAATCCCACACAAACAGTACACTATAATTCCATTGCCACAAACCATAAAATCACCTTTCTTTTATATCTTACTTTTGACACAGACATACATCCATTTACCAAAACCCTCTGCCCATAAAGCTAATAACAAAATAGTGTCCATTTGGCTAGCATAAACAGCTAACTTCGGGTTAAGTGAGGATAAAAATAAAATGAACACAAACGTGGAGTCTTTGGGGGGAATAAGTCTGTCACGTCTCCATTAAATTACCAATGTCAGACATATTGTTGTCCGTCGGTGTGAACGCGTATCATAATATAATCTGTAAAGTGTGACATTTCAGGAAAACTAACAAATGTCGATTCAAAGCATGGAGTTAGCTTAGTCGCGAACCCATTATCGGACAACCAGCAACGCCCGAATTGGATATTTGCCTCAACTCCCCGTTCTACTTGTCTATTTTTTTTATGTTATTATTATTTCTATCAATTTTACTTTTGTCGTTAATAACATCACAATAGTATCATTGATTTTCGGTTAGCCCTTTAATTGCCGAACAACACACCACGTAACCTAAATGTTTGGCAGCGGTGTTTACGTTTACTTTGGTTAGTATACCACTACATCCCGTCTCCCATCAACACTGCTGATTTTTGGACGAGGAAAATGACTTTAGACTGCAGGCTGTTACATAACATTGGTAAATTAAATTAAATCCTGAATAAATACGGACAAACAGCAATTAATTAAGCACCACCCGAATCCGCGGGAAAGTGTCTCAGGGCATGTCCGATAATGTAAACCACACAAATGATGTAAGCAGCGCAGGCCTTGAGGCTAACTGCTAACAGCTAACACCAGCCAAAGCATTATCAGCCTTTACTCACCCCGTCTTCAAGTTCATCATCGGATACATTTTCATCCGGCTGATCCAAGTCGATGTCGAAAACTCCGGCCATGGCCGCGGCTCTTGTGTCTGCGTCTAACTTCAAAACAGAGTCCACTCCACGACCTCATGGGAGCTTCATCCCCGCCACCAGCAGCTGCTGCAGCGGAACAGCAGAAAGCGTGTCCTCAGCATCCAGCGGTGAACCCGAACACAAACGGCGGCAGAGAAGCCTCTAGTGTCGAGCTTTGGCACTGCTTAGTGCTAGAGAACCAACAATTTAGAGTCTAAATTGGTTCTCTATCTAAATTTTAGACAGTTTATCCTAATATCTAAGAAAGGTGCAAGCATTTTTAACAGTGCATGGGCACTCTGTGAATATGAAAGGCGTTTACTTTTCTGAAGATTAAATAATTTATCCCAGATCTCAACAAACAGTGTTTTATTTTACGTACAAAAATATTCACAGATATATTTATGCCAAAAACAGATTCACAACAATTTCCAACAACCTGAGAAAAGAAGAACCTTTTGTTGCTCAATTTCTTTAAACATTTCCCTGAAACATGTGACCTCAGTATTCTGTTGTAGTCTAAAGTTCTACATGGTGAATGTTCACAGATGCCAGAAACCTCAGTTGTCTTACTGTATGAACTTTGGCATCAACAAGGTGTTTTCCCCCTGAAAATTTTCTGACATGCTCAACTAGCAATGACCTTATGTCAGGTTAAAAAGGCACTTAATAAAACATCTGATTTCTTTCTCGTTTTGATGCTTTGGCTGGGCTTCAGTAGATCATCTTTTCTAGACTGTGATGCTATTAAACTCCAATGATAATAAGCAAATATGTACCCCCGACTTATACCAGCTACACAGGTATCAATAAAGTTAACAAACATGTCTGTTCATTTTCATTATGAAAGACTCAAACCCTGTGAAAAATGTAATTCCCTACAGCAGAAACCATTCAGTTAGCAGTAACAACAATATTCTAGTAACTAGAATAGTAAGAATAGGTAGTGAATCATACTGTGATACTAAAACCTAGTATCACGCAGTATGATTCACCAATTGCTCGTTGTTTTGGTAAACATATTCTTTTATTTACCAGTAGGGGGCAGTAACAAAGAAGAAATCTTATTGTGTCGTTTCTTTATTCATTCACATACAGTATGTCAACCAACCAACACCATGATCAGGCCAATAACATATTTCAAAAAATAATTTAATCGTGTCATTATAAAATGACAAAAAATAGATATTTTTTTTATCTAAAGGCAACATGGCAAAAAAAGAATGAAGAGAACCTTGATTTGAAAAGAAATATTTGTTACTTTTAACACTGCAGAACAGAAGGGATGAACACAGTTAACAAAGTGGGATGGAACAAATCTAGAACCATGTAATTGTTACCTAGAACTGGATTAGCAGGAGAGATATACAATTCAAAGAACACCGGCCCCGTGGTCAAACACAGAAGTCTTCAAGCGGTCTGCGACCAAACTGCTAATGAATGTGTTCCATTAGAACCTGCAAATAGAACCTCAATATATTAATTTTAAGATTATTTAGTTTACTCAAATCAATGACAACAGTATGTAGTTTAGTATGGTTCAGTACATGCCACTGACTTTATTGTGACATTTAAACTAAATGTTGTGGCTACTGAGATGACAATGTTAAATTCAACTTCTTCTTTGTTTGGGTCAGTTATCAGACTCTATTGTCTCTTTTGTTTATGATTGTGTTTGTGTGAGGGGAACTGTTAACTGTGTTACACTTTAGAAATTCACAGAAAAGATAATACACGTTTGGAAAAGGGTTAAAGCACCTGAGATAAGGTCAGATTCTGTACCAATACAAATGAGTCTGTAATGTTTGTTTTTCCCAGTGTTTTTGTAGAGAAAAAAAATGGGCGGGGAAATTGGCACCAAGCTGTTCCTTTTGGTCTTTCATTTGGTAAATCCAATCTTTTTATTTAGTTGGGGATGGAAAGTTAAAAAGGTATTCATCTAGAAGAAGTTAGTACAAGTACATTAGGATTGCAGGCTCTGCTGAAGCTGAAAGACAGGCTACACCCTGACCAGGTCCTTTATCATCTGAAGAGCCACATGTAGAGGCAGTTCATGAACACAGTTATACTTGTGCTACGTAAACTCAATCTTTGGAACCTCATATCCTTTGTTTTTTTTCAAGTCATGTCATTTTTAAAAAAAGTTTTATACACTTAAATCTAACTCATAAATGTATAATTTATGCATGTTATTTACTACTTTTGAACATTTAGATAAATGGTGTTATTTGAATGTAGTGAGAATGATCAGGGTAAGAAGCTACAGTCAGTAAAATGAACAATAGCAAAACACGTGCAAAATACAAACAACCATGATTTTATCCTTCAGTATTTTAATAAGAATTTTTCAGTGCATCAGAAACTATGGACAACAAAACAATTTTAGAAGGTCTTATTTTGTAAGGAGAGATCTGGATCACTGCCCAGTGAAATTTGGCTACTTAGAAATGTGACTGGATCCTGGATTTTCATTCTCAAAATTAACTGTAGGTGAGAAAGGGAGCGTAAAACGATGTTTTTTTCTATGTGTTGCTGCATGATGGACCAGTGAATGTAGCTTGACTTTCGCCCAGTGTCATCTGAGGCTGCAGCTCATCCTGCAACCTTGAATAGAACAAAGCAGTAGAAGCTGGATTCTAATAGGAATTCATTATTTAATATGAATGAATTATTACTGAATGTGTGAATGAATAGACAAATTAATGCTCAATCGATCAACCAACACTCAGCAGATAACAGCAGGACATCCCAGCTGCTATCTGTGTCGTTGTAATAAACTCTATTTGACCTCTGTGTTTTCAAAGTATGCCAGTGACTTTTCTTCATAGGAGCTGGAAGCTCAGTCCTCACCACTGCTGGGTGGATGGCTGCCTCTAACCTCTGTGTCCCCTGCAGGGGCAGCATTACTTTGAACACAGCCTCAGTTCCATCCCTTTTGTTTGTTTAACTTTGATTGCCTGGTGATCAGTACCAGCTGCACTGGGTCACAAAATATGTTTTCTGTGTGTGTTCTCTGTTTTATTTAGCTCTGTTTATGTTTATAGAAGAACAGAGGAGATGCTGGTAGAAAGTCACCCAGCTCTGTTGTGGGTCTTTGCATTTCAACCGACCGCGTTATGTTTCCCCAGTTTTGAGTCCGACAACATGGAGGATCATTTATTTGAAGTGGAGAAAGGAAGCTGTCAGCATCCTCCCCTGTTCCATTGCAATCCGAATGTTTTTATGTGAACAATAAATACCAATAACGTGAGAAAAGCCAGTTGTGTCTGTTTTACAATTCTCAGTGGGCCTGTAAATGCTACCAAACTCTTTAAATAGCAGGTGTTGCCCTTTAACTGTACAGTGGCTTGTAATTGTCTCGAATTTCCACAATTTGAGCAAAATATCGAGTGAAGCAGCAACATGCAGTGAAGATAACATTTATGGTTACACACAGGAGGGAGAGGAGATGTGGGCTTGTTTTCCAAAAACAAGTGGGTCTTGACTATGTTTCAGAGGCTAAATATTTAGGCATTGGGTAAAGTCATCCCTGTCACTCACTGTACTGTATATTTTTTTTTTTTACCCAACTATATTGTTTTATTCAACAGTAGGTTTGTTTGGGACTGTGTGTTACTACAGCAGGAGGATACAATACGTGTTGTTGAATACTGTCTGTAGTAGCTGAACTTCCCTAACTGCTCTACTTCCTGTCTTCTAAATTCTGTTGTTTTGATGAGGAGTTGGTTCCTGTTCCATAAACTGGAGAACTGGTTCTAAGATCCTGGAAAAAGGATGTGTTGACATCTCTGACTGTAACTGGGCCCCAGTAGAGGAGACAGAGACACCAGGGTTGGCTTCAGTGCCCTGCAGTGAAAAACCCCCAATCACACCTCAACTCAAAATGAACGTTTGGAAACCAGGTTAGGAAGTGGATGACAGTCAGGTGTCTCAAACTCCAGGCCTGGGTGATACATTTCTCCTGTCACGAGATGTCATTGATAATTAATTTTGACTTTGAGTTTAATTTTATTAAATGGATTTTTTTTAGATGAACTGATGGTCACATTGACATTTTTGATGTTTTACTCTTTTCTGGTCACTGGTCTTCAGTGAAATGCTTGCTTTCTCAATGGTGATCTGCTGTTTTGCCTTTAGATTGGCCATTGGTTGGTCAAAGATTTATGGGGATTCACAGCCATATAAACATATATATATATATATATATATATATATATATATAAACATATATATATGTATATAATCTTTCTTAAATATTGCTTTAACTTATCTTTTCCTACCAGCGACATGCACAGATTTGTTTTTACATAAAACAACTGCTTAAAGTTTTGATGCACCTTTAGGAATTTCTGGGGGATTTCTCTGTTATTCATTTGCATGTGAAACTCATACAGAGGTGTCATTTCCATTTTATGATGTTAAGAGCGGGAGGCTGATGAAGAAGCAGATTAAAAAAGGGACTCTCTTTTTGTCCTGAATGACAGAATATAAAATTTGACAGTAACAAAATACATTCAAAATGCATATGTAAACACATTTTGCCATTGTTGTTATGCCATAATTGTCTTAAAAAGCAACATTATTAGCCCAAAAATGAAGTTGAAAACCAGTGGACAAATAATCTGGAAAGTTGTTTGAGGCTGGTGTTGAATTCTTGTAAAAAGCCTCCTGATATGACACACACTGCTGTGAAGCCGAGGGCACTGTGTGCTGTGTGTTTGGTGTATAGTCTGGCATGAGTGTGTTTGATTTTGTTTGCTCTTTGTGGCCGTGTGCACCACACTGATGGGCACGCCGCATGCAACCCCTGTGCCATGCGGTAAACAGGCCTCATGCAGAGAATGTGAACAGAACTAAAATTAGCTCTGATTGCAGCGCCATAAACGTTGAGCCCTGCAGTCGGTAATGCCATAAGTTGGATGTTTACATGGAGAGGGAGATGAAACGATGGAGTCCCTCTGATGGAATTCCATCAACTATAAATCCCTTTTTAATTTGTCTTTGGAGGACTAACCGACTGGATACAGAGAGAACAGTAAAACAGAGCCAGTAGTTTAAAGGGACAGTATGTAAAAAAGTTTATTTTATTTTAATTTTTTATTGTTGGTATTCACCCAATACTAAAAGAATTAATTGACCTGTTCAAGAGATTAGTGAAGAAGTTGTTGGTTTTGTAGCTTAACTAGTCCAACTACTAAGAATTGTTTCAAAAAAGAAAAATTCAACCTGTTGCATGCTCTTTGCCCCCCCCCCCTTACATGCCCCCCCACTTTCTTTCTCTAAGTGGGGCAATTGAAATGGTAATATTTATACATTACACCCTGTTGACCACAATCTCAACAAACAGCTCTACCTGTGACTTCCATAAGTAAATATTTAGCAATTCATGTCAAAAGTGTTGTTCTGAATGAATTTCTGGGGTTGTTTTTTTTTTTTTTTTTGGCATGATGTGACATTTTAAAGGGCTGGCGAGCCTCACCTGTGGCTGTTTACTCTGTCAAAAATAAAAGCTTAAAAATAAGTTTCTGTCCAAATTCACCACTGACCTCATGCAGGTCGGACAGGGGCAACAAATAGTTGGATGATGTAGCCTAGGCAGGAGGTGGAGGGTATTAAGGAAAATGTAAGAAGAATAACATAGTGCACATAAATGCCCTCTGAACACAGCTCTGGTTCTTGATTCCTCTTTTCTTGTCCACATTTGCTGAAAAAAAAAAAACCAGACCCACCATTCCCTACATTGGTATGCTTAGAACCCAGTGTAGGAGATTCCTGAGTAATATTCTTAGTAATATTTGAGGTGGCATCATGTCATGACACAGAAACCTGTCGTTACATGTGAGGATGTGGCCAACGTGAAACTCTGCTGCAGCGTAGAGTCGACACTGTTGGATTTGTAGCATTCCTACGGCTGACTCAGTGAAGTGTCACCACGTTGAAGGGGTGTGTTGCTTCTGATTCTGGTATGTGTGTGTAAGAGCAGTAGATACTTTTTTTTTTTACAATTTCACACCCACACTGCTGTTCAACATGCAGCTCTATTCTTACCACAGCAGTCGTGTCCCTCGTGTCTTAATGACACACCTGAGTGACGCAGTTTGTTGAAAACACAAAAGAAAGACAGGAGCAGAGAGACAAGATGAGGTGTTACACAACGATCCTGCTGTTGTGTTGGCCAGTAAAGTCAAGAACTACCTACCTATCTATCTATCTACCTATCTATCTATCTATCTATGTCTGTCTCTCTCTGTCTGTCTGTCTGTCTGTCTATCTATCTTTCCGTACCCACAAACTTGTTTAAATATCCTCTAATTCTCTTGAGTGACTTCACCAAACAAACACTCAAACTACACAGGGGTCAGTGTGTTAATGCCCTAAAAATGACATGGGCGGAAGCGCGTGTGTGTGTGTGTTGTGCAACAATGCCTTGTCATGGCCACCTGGCAGCAGCCATTAGGCTGTCTGCCATGCTGGCACGGTGCAGGCGGCACCAGCAGATGCTCCTGTTTAACCATCCTCTTTTTAAAATGCCCACACATAAGTCAGCAGAGCGCAGCGCAGGAAGACGGCTTTGGCTGTGTCAGAGTCAGTGTGAGGAACAGTCGGCCCACAGACTGTTCTGGTTTGAACGGTGACTTTAAATCACACAACAACAGAGGACGGCCAAGTGCCTGTTGATAAGTTTAGTTAGACATTCAATCAGGCTGAATTGAGAGAGTGATCAAATGAGAGTAATAATATCTCTGCTCAGATGGAGCGAATTACCAAGAGGCTAAAAACCACCGATAAGCCTGTTTGATCTTTGCCACAATAAAGGAAACGAAGGCCTTTGGAGTCAGGAGTGGGAGCTCAGCAAAAAACATGATTTGTGATATACGTGTGTGTGTGTGTGTGGACACTTACCATATAAAGATATTGTCAGACACACATAACGCCTTTTGGTTTTTGCTTGTAATTTTTTTTAAATGTGTGAACCACATACTTACTTTTACTGCATTTTTAAAATTAGAGACACATGTTGAAGATGCATAGTTAATTATCATAATTAAATTAAAGTGATCATTGAATCAGAAAATAAAGCCTAGGTCTGCATTACTACATTCCTCCTGTTAACTTTATTTTTCTACAACTTAGTCATCAACGTACTTATTGTTTGGATCAAAGAATAAAAACGGAGGTGAATTCCCGTTCTCTAAGGCTTTAAGCCAAGACTGTTAACAGTCATTGTAGGAGCTCCGTTTAACCATAGCACAGCTAACAGATCATATTTCACCTACAGATTATTTTTCTCTGGGTGAGTTTAGTAATTATTGACAAAAATTGCATTGCATTTATTAAAAAAAGACTTTATTATATTTTATTCCTATGTCTTTGTTATAATTAATTTCTGGTTAATATCCATCTGTGTCAATCCCTCATTTTTCTTGTACAGCTTAGCTACAGTTATCTGTAATAATAATAATAATAAAAATAATAATAATAATAATAATAATAATAATAATATTTGCTTTTCAGTGAAATTTAAAGACTAAGTTATGTATGAACAAGATTTCAGTTAAAAACAAAAATGTTTGATTGTTGCATTTTTAGGTAATAAAACAAGGTTACAGATCAAATCAATAAAATGTGATCAGTCATTTTGCAGCGGCCAATCAGCAATCATTGTTTTCAATAAAAGCGTGAATCCTTCTACTTCAAACACTTAGTCGCTCAAAGTAAAATTTGAGCTTGGAGGATTTCACTTACAGCTGACATTAAAAGGAAATATATTTATTCGTGTAATACTGAATATAAGTACATTTTTAAATATATATATATATATTCGTAAGTGTACAATTAATTAATGAGACCTTCTAAAACCAACTCATAACAATATTTAATACACATAAATATATAATACACATACAAAGATCGTATTTAGTTGTAGAAATACAATAAATACCTTGTTATTTCCATACATATATTTACATTACAACAGCTTTCTGTCATTTTCATACAAATCAAACAACAACAACTGTAATACACTAAGTGACGTGGTCCTCATTTGACATTAATTCTAGAAATAAACAATCATTGTAATTTCAGATGAAATAAATGTAGGGTGGGCTTATGGTCGATGATATTTTAACAGCCCTTCACTCTGAACCTGCTGACAGTGGGGAGACTGTGAGGGAAATAATATATGTGTGTGTATGTGTGTGTGTGGATGGTGGGTGGCAACGTTACTGTGCCAAAAAAATGAGTGCTGCCTTATTTTAAGCCTACTTTACAGTTTCTGCAGCAGCATCTACAGAGACCAGAGAAGAAGAAGAAGAAGAGGAAGAAGAAGAGGAAGAAGAAGAGGAAGAAGGCCGAGTCACTATCTGAGTATCAGTCCCCCGGCGTGTTTGGACAGGCAGCATTGAATGTTGGGTTATCAGCCAGAGCCCCGGGGCAGGGTGGGGTAGAGCATGGTGGGTCAGGGGGAAGTAGTCATCTTTATGGTGTTCAGGGTGTGGCTGCTGTGGGACCAGGACTTCTCTTGAAAAGTCTTGGCCTACAGGTCCAACATCTGATGTCAGGATCATCTTTTTTTTTGACAAATCGCAGTCCAAATATTCCATGTTTGAAACACTGTAAATCAAGTTGATTTTTCTAAAAATATAATTTAATTATGATTTAACAGTGTTTTGCTTACTTTTAGTGACTATATTCAAATTCAAATTTTAGAATCAAATAGAATAAAAATTGCAATTGAAACTTCATATATCAATGAAATGATATTATTTCTATATTAAATCGTTTTTGCATGTTTATAAAATGTCTGTTTTTATTTTTAGTCAAATGGACAGTTACTATCAACACAATAAATACATTTTTACAACGTAGTGATTTAACACAGAGTTTTAGATTATTAACATTGAATAGAAATCCTTGTTGGGGGTAAAGAGCGACCATGACGTGTCACAAAGGCATAAGGTGGAATGAGAACCGGAGCCTTTTTATCAGTGTGAGAAAGCAAATCAGTAACGTGATCACTGTTTGGATCTGAAACACTAGACCCAGAAATCAGAGTTGTACTGGACTCAGTGTCACCCTTGTCCCTCTTTCTTGGCTGACACGTGACATTCTTCGGTGGCCCGTGGGTCAAGGTTGGCCTCAGAGTGGTGGAGAATTATCACATAATGCACACAACAGCAATGTGTCTTTTCAACAACTTTATTAATAGCTGAAAGGAGGAAATACAACACGTGCAGACACATTTGGAATTAGTACGTTACAGAAAACAGGCAAGAGTTACAGGCACGGAAAAAGAACAGAATTTACACACGCACACACGCACACACACATGCCAAAGGGGGCTCCCTTGAGGAACAGGACATTCTGAAACTGCCAAGAAAAACACTTGCTAAGCCGACGAGCCATTCCACTGATTTTACTTTTATGACCGAGAAAAACGTTTTTTATTTTTTACACTTTTGCACTAGTCTAGAAAAAACAGAATAGTCTAAAATAAAACTGAGGTTTTGCAGCAAAAGCATCCGCTGGTCAGGCAATGATTTTAAGCTTTGTGTAATTACCAATTTGTGGCCCTTAGAAAAACGTCCCCACGAGAGGTTTGTTCCAATAAAATGCAGCCTCCTGCAAAAAGTGCGTGTTGAGCAACAGAAGAAAGTCCTGAGTGAAAGAAAAAAGAGAAGTGTAAAAGGGAAGAGGAGAATTCTATGAGCACTGTGTGTACCATACCTAAGGCTGGGTGTCAGTGTGATGTGTTGCAATAAGGTGTGTACAGTCTGGATTCTCTGGAAATTCAAGAGGACGGAGCCAACTGACACACACACACACACACACAGCACAAATATAAATGTACATCGCTGACGTCACTACATCTGAATTTTTGAAAACCTCACAGTTCCCAACAACCCCTCCCCCCCCCAACATTTCAAAAGCAGTTGAGATTAAAGGGAAGTGACATCGTCAACACATGCCTCCAAATGGGAACTGATGCTTTCTGAGACAATGACAGTAACAGAAGGGGGGGGGCACGACGGGCACGACAGGATGCTGATCAGATGAAAGAGCCCGAAATGTCAGACAGCCTACAGACTGTTGTCGCCTTAAAATCTAAACAGCCAACACCAGTCTGATAAGCTATCTGACAGGCCGAGAGTGACGGAGACGTACGGAAGTACCACAACAGAAATGAAAAAAACAAAAAACAAAAAAACAAAAACAAAAACCAACAACAACAAAAGAATCCTAATCCTACTTACCACCAACGGGAGAAAAAAGGAAATGTAAGTGCTGTGACTGGAGCTGGTGCAGAGCGCAGCCTTCAGTCTGCTCAACAGTGCCTCTCTGTTTTGAATCTACTCGAGTGCTTCGTCTCCTGGCTCCAAGACTAGGGCAGTGCAACGAGTTCATTTGAAGGTTCAGCTGAGGTAACAGCACAGACGCTGTTCACTGTGCAGTGGAGCCTTTTTTCCTCCCTCTCTCTCTCTCTCTCTCTCTCTCTCTCTCCTGCGCTCGCACTCACTGCACTCAGCCCAGCGTAGCACAGCAGCAGCACACAGACGAAGGGAAAAAAATTAGCACAATTCATCGACAATTACAGAGAAAAGGCTGAAACTGGCGCAGGGAGCCAGCCGACGACGTCCAATAAAAATAAATGAAGACTGATCGCATAAAATGTTTGAGGAGCGTCTCGTGTGATGTCGTACACGAGCATTTGGTTCTCATCACGGGGGAGGAAAGCACTTTATAATGCTCCGAGGACAACCGAGACAAAGACTACAAACGCTAACCATCATTTTGACTGTCACACAGCTAAAAAAGAACAGCCACACTCTGACATACTCACACTGCCGGGCGGACTCCCTGTCCATTAGAGAAGCACCACCCGCGCTTAACCATAAAAAGATAAAAGACAGCAACAAACGTGGCCACGCGAACACGACCTACGATCCGTGTCTCGCTCTCTGCCAAGCACACACGGTCGTAGATCTGAGTCAATATGCGTCTGCATCTGGTAAAGTAGCTCCGGGCTGACTCATGTGCTCTCTTCCTGGAAGCAGAACAATGAGCGCAGACAAAGAACCAGCAGAGTGATTCATGGCCGATTTAGCTCTCTGCCCAAAACTTCCAAAAGTGCTTCACCTACATCACACAATTAAGGAAACATTCATTCAACAACTACAACAAACGACTGTGGAGTGATCCACACACAAAGACGGAGGACTGATATTCACTGTCCTCAAACACTGCACAACTCATGTAACACAAATGATATACAATCTATTTAAGGGTAGAAATACGAACTGGGTGGAAATATGACAACTGAACACATCAGATCACTCACGTGGAATCAATCTGTTGATCACCCTCTAATGTTAATGAAGTCAATTTTTGGTGACTGTACAGAAATATGATTACCGTACTGTAAGTTTCTGCTCAAATCTAGGCCTCATAGAAATGTATTACTCACATTGTCTTACCTCATGTGGCCACAACATGACACACTGTGACAACACAACAGCTACACACACAGTCACAAAACTCACGGGCACCTACCTCACACAGTAAAACAGCTGAAATCACAACCAAATGCAAAACCTTAAAAAAAGCAATTAAATAATCTCCGAGTTCAACATCTACATGTTGTTAATAAGAAAAAAAGAGACAGAGCGTGGCTTCAGACGCCGTGGTGGACAATTAGCCAGGAGCGGTCGAAAGGAGGAAAAGAGGAGGTTGGAGGCTGATGATCTGCCTTGACCGTGGCCCCTCGCCGCTCTTGACTCGTCCCTTGAGTTTCGGCGGCTGCCTCCTGTTGGCGTGGCTCTGGGCCACGCAGTTGACAACGGAGCAGACAAAGAAACATGTCACAATGACCAGAATCTTCTCAAAGAGTCATGACGACCGGTTCTCCTCCTGCCAGGAAATGCAAAGAGAAAGAGAGAAGAGTCTGGGGTCAGTTCACTGAGAGCCACACTCACTCCTCCCCTCATACACCCGACACCCTGTTCTCCCCTCTGCTCCTGATGCTCTAGGCTAGGTGGGGATCCAGCTCCATGTGCTGGACAGATAGAGATCAGGGGTAATAAAACATGCGGCAGCCCCCACCATCCTCCCTCCTAACGCCCCCGCTGACCCCAGCCCCTGCAGCCTCCCTCCACCAAGTTAAATTGGCCTGCTTCTCTCCTGTAACTGCAGGAGGCTCAAGTTACAAGAAAAAAGGAACATTGTTCTTGAAATGCCTTAATCTGTCCTTGTGCAACTCACAAGTCTATCCTTTCCTCCTCCTATCCTTCTAGTCGACTCACAAGTGAGGGAAAAAGGTCTGAAACGAATCACTCGGAGAAGGAAGACGAAGGGAGGAAGAGAAACGGAGAGGATGAAAAGAAATCCTTTGAAGGAGGAATAAGCTACGGCTACAACTGGCTCTTTTTGTTCTAGACAGGGGGGTTTGATGGATTGTCACTGATGGGGAGGGTTGGAGCTGGTGGTGGTGGGAGCTTGGCCCCCGCCCCGATCTACAGTCATCGCCGGGTTCAGGCGGAGCATTGAGTGCAAGTGTGTGTGTGAGTGAGACACAGAGGGGAGTGACTACACTCACACACACACTCCCAATTGGTACGATGGAGCATGAGTCAGCACGCCCCGCGCTACAGTAGTATAGTTCAATACAGCGAGTGGAGCCAGACACCCCTCCTCCCTGACACACACACACACACACACACACACACACCCCTCCAGCCCGCCCCAGTGCAGTCACTGTGGCCCCAAACAAGACCCTGTAATCTACAGTAGGACAAAGTTAGTGAGGACGGTGGAACCTCCGCTCCTGCTCTGGGTTTTCATTTCACGTGAATGTTAACAATTAAAGTCAAGTCCAAAGGCACAGGTGACTGAATATTATTTCCATGCCTGAAAACAAATTTAAAAACAGGCTTACATAAAGAGAGGGAGAGGACGGAGAAAAAAAAGTGGAGCGAGAAGGAGCGAAAGAGGCAAAAGTAAGGGGCCACATTCTTTACTTAGCGCGCACTTGTGAATGAATAGAGGCTGTGGGCCGGGGGCTGAGGGCCCCTGTACTTACAGTTAGTATCCCCTCACTGGTGTGATGGTGCAGCTCGGCCTTCTGGGCCTCCAAGTGCTCCCTGAAGGGCTTCTGCAGTGCCGCACCCAGCAGTGGAACAGATCTGCCTCCAACCAACGTAGGAAGAGAGAGAGAAAGAGAGAAAGAGAGAGAGGAGGGGTGGGGGAAGGAGGGAGGAGGAAAGGAAGAAGAGAGAAAAGAGAGAGGAGGGGGGAAAGGCATGGAGGAAGAACAGGAGAGGGAGGAGGGAGAAGGGGTGAGGGGGCACAAATCACGTCACATCATTGTTACTCACCAGCCCAAGGGCAGCAACAAAGGGAGGCATGCTGTCCTATCTCCTGTACTGAGCTGCTCTCTCCTGCTTCCTCCCTCTGAGGAGAGGGAACGGCAGAGAGAGCAACGAGTGCAAGCCCTTCAACGTTAATCCGCACAAACACACACACACACACACTCGTACGGACAGAAGAGGGGGAAAAAAGTTCAAACCGTACCACGGTCACAGAAAAAAAAAGAAAAAAAAGAAGAAAAAAACAGTGAAAAACCCAAAAGTAAAAAAGAAAACGGAAGAAAAGAAAGTTGGCCGGTCTTCACACAACAGCCCCGGCATCAGTAGTCACCCACATTCTCCCGCTCTGCTCTGCTCTGCTCTCCTCTCACTCACACACATACGCCGCGCTCTCTCCCTGACACACACTCACACACACACATCGGTGAACTCGTTCAACTCCCCTGCAGTGCCTCCTCTGCTGCTGCAGAGAGGAGAAATGAATGACTTCTCAGAACTCGCACATTTATCACAGGCGGTTCCTGTAAGAACTGGTTTCAGCCAATTAATGAGGAAGTGAGTCGTACCCGAGCTGTGTCATCACTGGCTGAGACCTGGGGGGGGGGTGGCCCACTGGGGGAGGGCGTTCTGTAAGACGGCCCATATTAGGAAACCCTTTACAAGATTTAGCCACCAACTACAAGAACACCACTACACCCCCCTCCCCACACTTTTGCCCCCCCACCATATCCCCAAATACATACATATATATTTATATATATACACACACACAGTTAAAAAAAAAGGCGAGAGACTGAGGAGAATGCCCCAGTAAAGCAGGTCTGTGGCCCATCCTTAGGCCGGAGTAAGTGATTAATCACTGAACAAACCCTCAGTAAAGACCGTCATACACTGATAATCACAATCCCTGACTCGTTGTTCCACTGCCGTCCTTCTGCCCCACTTCTATGTCTTTTGTTCACGTTCACGTCCAATCATCAAAGCACAGAGACACTGGAGAGATCTGAAGGCAGCTCTGCGTGGGCAGACATGTGACATACGGTTGAGTTCTGAACTGGTAACTTTCTCTGAAGGAGGCAAAGTAATTTCCGTTCGTACCCACCTACACAGGCACACACACACACACAGAAGAAACACAGATCGTGTTCAATGATCGAGCTCGCAATGAGGAAGCCTTTAAGTAATGATTAACTCTACACACCAGGTAACCATATCTTTCATGTGACGGGACAAAAAGCAGACAGGAAGTCTTGAAATAACACAACAGGAGTTAGTTAAGTTACTCACTGTATCAAAAAAAGAAAAAGAAAAATCAAGTTCATTTCTTTGGAAGGAAACAAAGCTCTCCTCTCTCCTATTCCCATCCCCCAGTTTTTTTCATAATTTCTAAGCATCAATAAAACCTCAGAAAATTATACAAGTGGTTAAACATTGACTGGATAAAAAGGCAAATTAATCGCTGAGGTGAGGAATAAAATAAATGTTCAAAAGCATGAGACATACTCTGGGCTTGAGCAGATAAAGCAAACAGGCAAGAACAAAGAGGGAGAGAAACCATTTTGAGAAATGGCGGGCAAATCATCTCTTACACGATGAGCAATACTGAGTCATGAGCCTGGGCAAATCCAGCCACAAAGACGCTCAGAGCTGCGTCTCAAACGTGTTTTTAATGCCTCACAGTCAGGACACCGCTTTATCCTTTTGGGGGATTTTATTTTTCATTTTCCCGTGAACGTGTGAAACTTTGGGATGTGAAGGTTTCTTCTGTTGAATTATAGAAAAAAAAAAGACTCGTGAGTACTTGAGATGTGGATCTTTTTGTGTGTAAAAGGTTTAGGAGATTATCTTTGTTGAACTCTGATAAAATTACTGTTTGTTTCTACAGGAATTCAGTGATAAATGTGTGTAACTGCATGAGTTAGATACTAAATTGTAAATGTAACAAATTGTAAAATGTTGTTGAGGATATACAGAAAACGTGAATCCTTATTGTCTCAGCAAGTTTGGAAATAATAATAAATAATAATAAAAAAACCCACTTTTGAATACTGTTTTAATCCAATTTCTAACCAACACGTCAAGGTTAAAAATAATCCTGGACTTTACGTGACAAAGGAAAAAAAGAAAAACTTCTCACTACAACAGATTTTTTTCATAAGCTTTTTAAAAAAAAAAACTTCTCACTACAACAGATTTTTTTCACAAGGTTTTTTTAAAAAAATTGTCTAAAAAAACTTGGACATCAATCAGTGATTGGTAAACTATTCAGAGCGCATGTAAAAAAGCAAACATATGTTTTAAATATTCCATAACACTCTTTACCAAGTGGCAAAGATTTTGTTGGTAAAACGTAAGAACAAAACTGCAGTGCAACCCTGGCTTATTTCTAGGTTTTTATTATAAATATATATTTTTTTATCCTGTAAAATGTCCCATGATAAAAGAAAAAAAAAACAATAATTGTGGGTATCTTTTGTGTATTTACTCAGCAAAAGTATCGAGTGTCTAAACTAATGTATAATTTAGAGCATTTTCAATTCACTTTCTCAAATATTGCTGCAGTAAAACAGCCTTTTTTATTTACTTCAAATAATGCTGTAATCTAATTTAAAGGAGGATTTTTTACACACTTAAGTTAATGTGTTTTTTATTTGTGGAATAAATTGGAAAAAAAGCATTGACAAGCATGAAAAGCCGCAGCAGTAAAAAGGTTCAGAAAATCTCTTTTTTCCAATGAGGAGAAATAAATAGCAATTTAAAAGGAAAATAATAGGAACAATGTCTTAAAATGTAGGTGGTTTTACAACTATAAAAGCCTGCATGTGTGCATCCCGCTTTACAACTTTTTAATTGTTCCTCTCCAATCCATTAAATTACTTCCAGAAGTTGTGCAAAACAAAAAAATAAATTAAAAAAATAGTTTCTTCTTTTTAGGGTTCTTTTTAGAGTTCTAAATTCATAGACACTAGACACATGTTCTTGTACGTGTGTGTATTCATTAAGACATTAGAGTGAAACTGGTATTTCATTCATCAAACTGTGAATACGTAGACTACAGAATACATACATCATCTCAGGGAAAGTCCAATTTTACAGCTGAACTAATCAGTTCACTCAGGACATCCAATTCTAAGAATTGAAAAATTTAGTAACAGCTGGATTTGGAAATGATCAACCTAATTTGGTAACTTGTAAAAAAAACTACCAACTAATGATTTAATGAGTGAACATCAGCCTGAAATAAATGTTTTTTTTTCTTTAGAAAACTAATTTCTTCATCCTTTCTATCAGAATTTGTCCACTATTTAACACTGGAGGGTTGTGGTTCTAGTAAAAAAACACACACACCACTGTCTCCTACAACGTCAGTTAAACATTTACTTTCTCATTCATCAAGTCCTCTACAGTCTGCTGATTCTGTGCCAGTTCCCAACAGAAACCCATGAAGAAGACAACCGTGCATTTGTGTCCTTCTGTAACTCTGAAGACGCTGCAATCAAGTCATTTAATCATTAAAATCATGACGAGGTTTAAAAGAACCAGCTGCTAATTTTACAACGTGTGAACACATTTTCTAGATTCACCTTCTCAAAGGGTTTCACGTTGTCACATTCATACTGTGGCTCAGTCAGTGTGTGATTTCACCTGTCTTTCAATAACACTGCTTTACTTTCTATTGTTAATAGAAACTCAGTAGAACATTCCTCCATTCCCCCCCTCTGTTACATGGGGAAAATTTAATTTCAATTCCAGTTTTAAAACTGCACAGCAAAAAGTCCACTGAGACAAATGTGTTTTGTGATTTTTGAATTTACAAACAGCTCTGTCTTTACTTGACAGCTTTACAGACTGAGAAAAAAAACTTTATCCACTAATTTACGTATATATATATATATATATTTGTGTCTATATATATATTACAGCCAACAGTCCTCATTTTTTTCTGAGCTCTAGATAATGACAATATAAAAAGTAGTCATTACGAGAATAGAAGTAGAAGCTGTATTTCCACTGAACTGTGCCGTGTCTGTGTGTAAATGTAAAGCTACATTGTGTAACATTTACCAACGATAATGGTTAATAAAAGTTATCTGATTGATTATGAAACACCACCACTGGTGCATTCTTCAGAAAACGCTGGTGAAATGTGGAGTTTGTCTGTGAGCTAATGGTTTTTTTTATATAGGTACACAAATATAAGTGAAAGGCAGTAATAGTGTCACAGTTAAATTACACAGTTCATTTAAGGTGCACTTTTAAAAATGCCAGACAAATGACAAACGTCAACAAATCCTCAGCTTATTACAAAATACATTCTAATATAACAGTAACAGAATTTGGTTTTCATCAATAAATTGTTTCCCGCTGCTGTTCACAGGGTGTGTTAAAAACTAAATTCCACAGGCCATGAGTCAGAGGTGCCCTTTGACCCGGGTCCATAGGCACTCACCTAAAATGGCACATAAAGGCAGCCTCGGCCGTAAATTTCATTCTTTATGATACAGGCGCTCTGAAGGCACTTCAGATCTTACACTTGGTCAGGGAAAACACACACACATGCACACACACGCGTGCCCTGACGTTGGAGACCGGCGATGACAGAGGACAGGGCTCATGTGACAGATAAATCCTGGCCAAGTCCAACTCGTTACAACACCATCACAACAACTGGCTTAGGCAATCGCTAGTGTTACCCAACGCTCCACGGGGCCACAGTTCACACCTAACATAACAGCAGAAACACTGCAACACACACACACACACACACTGTAGCTGTGTTTGGCAGTGCTCTTGACCGACTGATGCTCTGACCTCCAACCATCACAGTTTTTAACACTGTTATGACATCACAGAGAGCCCGACTGAAAGACTGAGGAAAAATGAGATTTTATTTAATGATGGTCTGATAAAAAAAAACCCCAACAAAATCAGATGAGTAGAAGTGTTTGTCACCGTTTTCTAGGTAAAACATGGGATTACAGCGTAAGGTTATCTCAATGTGTGTGTGTGTGTGTGTGTGTGTGAGCTCCTCCTCCAGTTCTACTGGACTTTTTCCCAGTGACTTCACCACTAAAACATGGAGCCCACTGCTCGACGGAGATCCCCCTGTCGTGGGTGTTTATCACATCCCTGCTTCACAGCAATCTGTGCGAGCCAACACACAAGCGCACACACACACACACACACACACACACACACCCAGATGAACACACACACAGTCGAACCTTATGAGCACCAACAGTGCTGCCAGGAATTTAGGGACACCAATTACAGGAGTCCATTATGCCT